TAAATGAAAGGTGTTTCCTCGAAGTTGAATTCTCGTAAAAAATTCTCCGAAAAAGTTATGCTGATAGTGCGCAATGCAATGACTTTCATCATTTCACAAGCGATGTTTTATCGCCATTGTAATAATGGACTGTTTGCGGAGAAATACTATTGATTTTGGAAAACGAATTCAGATGAATCATATGATGCACTTAATGTTTTACACGCATTCCTATTGTATTTGCATTGTACTGCGTTGTGTTATTATTGTATTTTTAATAACTTTAATAATGTTATAAGTACTATAAATTATTATTTAAATATTATTATTATTGCAATATAATTATTGTGGACATTATTATTTCCATTAATATTAATGACACATTGATGGTGACATTGTTCATTTGTTTATCAATCAGTTCATTCAATTGATTAGTATTGTTACTGTCATGATTTCATCATGAGCATCATGCTCATCACTGCTCTAACAGCCAGTCATTCGTGTATTCATATGGTAACCTGTAAAACGCATTCAATTGCCATGACAAAGTGCTAGTTAGAACCCTTACAACTTTTACACGATCCGCTCGGAATGATTCCAAACCAACTCAAAGTCTTAAGGCTTAGGCTCAGAGTTTGAGCTGAAACCTAACCGAAGACATTGCACAATTTGCCTGTTTTTATTTGTTATTCAATTGCAGATGATGACTAACCCCATTCCGTTGTTATCATTTCAATCAACAAAATCAAACGCCAATTTTATTGCGAAGAATAATCTCAATAACAAGAACAATAATAATAATCTCAACAATAAAAAACAGTTATCTCCGTCGTCTCATTACGCAGCTTCATTGGATATTCCACGCAAAACGGCTCAAAGTAATCAATTTGCAAGGTGAATTTTATTTTTTCTAATGGATTTCATCATTTGTTTTTTTTAATATTTTCAATCGATTTTCATTCGTTTTAAATGCGGATTTTGCTGAGCTGGATAACTTGACGGTATAAATTTTAGTGATTGCTCAATGTTATTTGACCAAATGTGAATTGTATTTGATAAAATTTAACGTCGAGTTACTGCATAATTGAACAATTTTCATGATTTTCCTAGTTGAAATAAATGCACAAAAGAGCAAAAAGGGTGATTGTTTCGAATGAATTTTTGAGTAGTTGATTTGCGTTGAAATTTATGAATTTGAGTATGCGGAATGTGATCCGTTACGCGAGTTCTCGTCTGTACAAAGACCTGAGGATGTTGGTATCTGAACGGGAACGAACCATTGCCGCACTTGACAATGCCACACAACACACTTTTTTGAATTCGATCAGTATCATGAGTCAACGCTATCAACAGGTTATTTATTCTTTTATCGCGAACATTTTCATTTCACTCACTGCTCTATAACCCATATTCCAACCTTCCATATATTCGTATCATATTTTGACGATAACTTTTGTGTTTGATCGTTCGATGCTATCAACTGAATATTCGATATTACAGCGATTTGTAAGTAAATTATTGGAGAATAAAATCGATTTGGATGTTCGTATTGATAATATATGGCAAAAATTGACTCGAGTCGAGAACACGTCCACACTGAGTCCAGCACAGATAGATTGGCTGTTCAGTGTGCCGTACAGTACCCTTCTCAGAACTCATTGTATGATTACAGCACAACAACCACAACAGTTTCATATGGTACATCAGCATTATTATGATTTACTACTATTATGATTATGATCATTGTTCATATGTATATAGTTACTGTTATTCATTATTATGCTAATATTTGTCATAACCAAAAGAATTGCAGAATATTGATATGGTAAACCAACCAGCAATATCTTCGTATCAGTTGCAACAATTAAAAGCAACTGAACGCAATATGCGTCAACGGATTAATGATCAACTACAAGCTTATCATCATCAACGTCTTTATAATAACAATGCTAAATTCAATAATATTGATAATAAGAATGATCCAAAGCGCTTGTTATATTCAATTCCGCCACCGATGCATATCCCTCCTCCAACGCTCCTCTATCAAGGTGCCAGTTTAATGGCACCACCCCCGCCCGGACCACTACCCATCCCTCCACCACCCTATCCAAATTATCACTATCATTATCACCAACATCACCATCAATTTTCAAAAGCTTTACCAGTCCACTTCGTTTTGAATTGATTTCAGTTTTATTTGTATACAAACGCAATCCCACAGAAATTTATAGACTCGCATAGAGGTTCCATTGTCTCAAACATGCATATCAGGGAGTCTGTATGTTTACAACAGGAGAAAATAAGACGAGTTTAACAATTCTGAATTCTGGCTTTCTCAATCTTCTATCAACAATAAGCCAACAGCAAGCGATCAAGTATTCATTTTCACAGGAGCTTATCTTACCTGTTGTTTGCTTTAGGGGAGCTGGAATTGCCCAAATGAGCGGGTATTTTTTGTTCAAAGAGCCGGAAACGTTCGATATTATCTGTCAGATTTGGAAGCAATTGACCTTTTTCGCGATTGCCAATGAAATGATAATGCATTACGGTTTGAGTGCAATTATCAATCACATTAATAATCGAAGAAATAAACTCACAACGGATGTCAATAATTACCGATCAACATAGTGCACTCGAAACCGTCAAATGAGTCGATTCATTCAGTTGATCGATTTATCGAAAACTAATCAATCAATAATTCAAATCTGATATTTACCTTCCCTATATCCTCTTATTTTATCATTGATATTGATTGTCTTCATATCAATGTTTTTTTCAAAATTGCGCAATATCGCCCACCAGCAGCCGAAAACGATTTGTTGAAAAGCGATCTTAACAGCAAATAACCAACTTTTCAAAATTATCGTAATGTTTTTTTACAGAAATTGATCGAATTTCCAAAAAATCGCAATATTTTTTCGTTTATATTGAAATCTTCCTTTGAAAAACGAAATCACTGCAAATTTTAAGAAGAGAGTGCGATTTGATCTTATTTTGAGCAGAAGTGAGCGATTGATGTGAAGAGTTTTGTAACACATTTATTTTATGATGTATATTGATCATTATTTGCTTTGCATTGTTCATTTTTGTGTGTTTCTTTGATTTGGTTGAATTGCGAAATGGCCACTTTGATCACATTTTTAAAANAATTGTTATCATTTGATCATTTCATCACTAAATTATGACGGATTTATTGAAATTACCAACAGTGTATTTTTCTATCATTCATTTTTGAACATATTACATTACTATACACACTTTGCACTGATATTTCATTAATAAGCTTGTTGATAAAATCTTTTTTTTTTGAATTTATTAGAAGTTTGTCAACTGAATAAAAGTTGATATTAATTTTATTTGCAAAATTTTCACGGAAATTTTGAGCAAAATTCTTCAAAATTTATTCACATCTAAATGAAATTTCCATTAAATATTACAAAGTAAGCAGATCGCGACTATTCATGATCGAATTCATTTACACGAAATATTTCTTCGCTACCAATTCTTCTCGATAGGACTTTCGAGACAGTAACCACCCAAATCAAGGGCGGCACGTCCTATTTGCAGCATAGATGGATTGAATCGTACTAGACCGAAATCTGAAATGTACGAATTCTTGAAAATGGAAATCAAGGAAACGTTCTGAGAATTTCTCGCAAAGAAAATCAGCTCTTTGGAGATTTTTTGTGGAAAGTTGAGCTTTGAAACCAACTTACAGTCAAGTAAAGTGTTCAGTTCGGTATGTGATTGACGTGCTGCGCGACTGCAATAGGTTAGAGCCCACGCAACCTGAAATTCCCATACAAT